GTGTTGGAAGTTTATAGAAGTTCACATATTTTCTGATGCCAGTCCCAAGTGTTATGGTGCCGTAGCATATTTTAGATTTAAGAAGAAAAATAAATGTAAAACAAGTTTCATAGTGTCGAAATCCCGTTTGGCTCCATTAAAAAGGGTAACACTCCCTAGGCTTGAACTTTTGGGAACATTAATTTCTGCAAGATTAGGTTCGTATTTGCAATCGATATTTCCGCAGTTGGATAAGGGAAATATATTTTACTGGACTGATTCCCAAATTTGCATTCACTGGATCAAGGGATCTGCCAACGAGTGGAAACAATTTGTTAGAAATCGTGTGGTAGAAATCAAGGAGAAAACAATTTTAAACAACTGGTACTTTTGCAGTGGGAAGACAAACCCTGCTGATAAACTTACGAGGGGGATGGATGCTGAAGCTCTAATTAATGATAGTGATTGGTTTTCTGGGCCACCCTGGCTTTCAGAAGTAGATATTCGACATCACATAAACGAAATGAATACCGAAGCTGACTTGCAAAACGTTAGTGAAGAACGTAAAATGTGTTACTTTGAAAACACTTGTGGAATCTACAGAACCGTTACTAAATCTTGAACTGTACGGAAATTTAAACAAAGTACTGGGAATAATGGCTTATGTTCTGCGCTTCGTGAACAACTGTAAATCCGCTCGTGAAAAGCAATCTGGTGTGCTTACCGCCTATGAGTTACGGAAGGCTTCAGAATTTATTATAAGAAATGTTCAACTTAATGAATTTTCAGAAGAAATTAAGGCTTTAAAGACAGAACAACCGATTAAAACTAAAAGCAAAATCATTTCACTTAATCCATTTCTAGATGAAAACGAAATTTTAAGAGTAGGAGGTAGATTAAGAAACGCAGAAATTACCAGAGAAAGTAAACATCCCATTATATTGCCAAATAATAATCACTTCACAAAATTAATGATACAGCATTATCACGAAAAACATTTACACGGAGGGTTGCATTTAATGTTATCCGCAATAAGCAGACAGAAATACTGGATAATAAGTGCAAAGAATGAAATTAAAAAATGCATTTGGAAATGCATAAAATGTTGCAGAGTACGAGCAGTAACATCTATTCAATTAATGGGAGAACTACCTGCAAGTAGAGTGATTCCAAGTAGAACCTTTTCAAAGGTTGGCGTTGATTATGCCGGCCCATTTTCTGTGAAAATGAAAAGGGGAAGAGGTATAAGACCAATTAAATGTTATGTCTGTATTTTCGTTTGTTTAGCTACAAAGGCTATCCATTTAGAGATTGCTAGCGACTTATCAAGTGAAGCATTCCTAGCTGCTCTAAAACGATTTGCTTCGAGGAGAGGAAAACCTCAAGAAATAAGAAGTGATTGTGGAACTAATTTTATAGGTTCAAATAAAATCCTCAAGGAAGCAGTTTCATCTGTCCAGTCAACCTCAGAATTTCAAAGGTGGTTAGCAAATGAAAAACATAAGGTGGATATTCAACCCGCCAGCTGCTCCACATCATGGTGGTATATGGGAGGCAGCTGTTAGATCTATGAAGCTGCATCTAAAGAAATGTGTTGGAACTCAAATTTTGACTTATGAAGAGTTTCTAACTCTAATTGCACAAATTGAAGCATGCTTAAATTCGAGGCCAATAACACCGGTCTCCAGTGATCCCAATGATTTGACAGCTTTGACTCCTGGACACTTTATTATAGGGACTTCTTTAACAGCTGTTCCGGAACAAGATTTAACCGAAGTACGAGTGTCTCCATTGCAAAGATGGCAACTAACACAGCAGATGTTCCAAGGGTTTTGGAAGCGGTGGTCTAAAGAGTACCTGTGCCAACTACAGCAGCGTAGCAAATGGAGACAGCCTAGCAGAAATATTCGTCTAAATGACTTGGTTCTCATTAAAGAAGATAATATGCCTTCATTACGTTGGAAACTCGGGCGAGTAATAGAAGTGTTTCCTGGAAGAGACAATAATGTCCGAGTGGTTAGACTAAAAACTGTGCACGGGGACATTAAACGTCCTATTACCAAACTGTGTCTTTTACCAGTTGAAGAACATTAACTTAAGTGTTTGGTTTATATATGTTTTATTATTTTTTTTTATTTCTTATTGTACTAATAATTTTATTTGTTTGTTCTAGTTTAACCCTCATAGTTAACGTTTCAATATAGTAAGATATAAGATGTTTTGCTAGAAGATTGGTAAGTGTAACATGTAATTTTATACTTTTTGAAGGTTTTTGTATGTTTTCAGTTTCTATATTTTTCATTTACTTGTTTGCATATATTGAAGATTGTATTAAGATGAATGTAATTCATCGGGGGGGGGAGGATGTTTTGGCCTCCTCGGTGATTGCGGTGATTTGTGCCCAGAGGGCGCACCGCACAAAAAGTTAGTTGCGTTACAGAACGTAAGGGAAGCGGACACGCCAAAATGTCGGGCGTATTACCGCTAATTGAGGTAATTGCATCGTATCTGTCAGGTGGCAGAAAACTAGTATGATGTATCAATTCACATGCCAGGTGGCAGAATATGTCTATCATGTACATGCCAGGAGGCATAACGCTTGTAAATAATGCCAGGTGGCATACGACTTGTAAATAAATTGTAAATAAATGTACAGTAAAATATCTTGGTGCAATAGATCAAGGAACAAGCATCAACAACCTTCTGATCATTTGGATACGTACAGTATCACTTGCTTTTACTATATAGACAATTAAGAAACTAACATCCTTTGTATGATCCTTAACAGAAAAATACATTTCATTAATACTTTCAAACAAAATTTTACGCAAGATCTGATTGTTCTTTCAAGTTATGCAGTTTATCATTACTCACCTCTAAAATAAAGGAAACTTTTCAGATATAATTTATTTATCATTACTCAGCTCTAGATTAAGGTAAACTCTTAAATGTAAGTTATATTTCAAATAAAACCAAAAAATTCGCCTTTGTTTTTTTTCCCTACAAGTATGTTTTTCACATTCTAAAACTGTAAATATTCTGCATTAATTCTTCAAATATCTTATTGCAATATTAAAACCCATTTACGCATACATTATTTTCTGAATACCTTTATCATTTTTAGATCCTCCAGAACCATTGAATGTTCCAATAACCTACTGATAATTTTAGAAAATAGGTTTTGTTTTGAATATTCGTTTGGCATGCGCGTTACAAAACAAAAAGAGGCTTCTATGTCGCGAAATGCTCTAAATCCTTATCATTTAACTCATAGTTATCTGCTAAACTGAATGTCGTATCTAGTTTTTGAATACAGAACTAATAAATCATTATTATGAACAGAATTAACAATATTTTAGTATTTTAGTTTTTTTCGCAATGCTAGATAAAAACCTGTAAATAAAACAGGATATTTTTGCAAATATTGTAATTTAAGCTACATATCATCGATACCACACTAAAACCCTGAATCTGATTTATCTGCTGTCTTTTTAACATGAATTGCTTATGCTTTTCTGCTTTGCATTGCATTAAAAAAAAACAGATTTATAGCTTATGAAATGAATATATGAAAATTTTTATTTCAAAATCAAATTTAATTTCTTTTAATACCAATTGCCTGCGAAACGGAAATATATTTCTCTTAAAACATAAATTTTACAAATTTATAGTTTTGATGCGGCTTGGACAATATATGCAGAGTGTTAACTATGAGTTTTATTTCCTTAAATATTAATGCTACTCTAAGATTCCAACCTTTGAGTACAACTAATAATGAGGAACCTTAAGAACTGTTAAGCGAATAATCGTTTAGTTTAGTAGACAGAAAGCAGAACTCAAGAAGGGTAAAATACCCTTATTGTTAAAAATAAATTTAACAGACGACTCCTTCTTGGAGTTGACAACAAAACCTCCACTTGGGCTTGAACTCAGGAATACTAAGAAGTAAAACTTAACTAAACTTAACAAAATGATATAGCCGAAGCGATCAAGATTCTAACAGAGTTGGCCCCTTAACGCTAACTAACGGCGAAGCTATCAAGGGCCTAAAGTACGGCCGAGCGTAATAATAGCTTAAGAGAGAGAGAGTAGCCTAAAAGGCGAACGCGCGCTGCTCAGAATGTTTGGTTCTCTAAAGAAGTCAGTAGAACTTCAAAGTTAAATGCTTCTCCTCCTCATTTCCATTTGACCGCGATTCTGAAAATACGTTCTGGCCGGAAGTTGTAATCTAAAATTAAGAATGGTAAAGTAAGAAAGCATTAAGAAAGTAGCTTTAACTAAAAATTAACGGTTAGAAGACATAGGATAAACCTTACACTACATCTAGAATTCTAGTCCCTAAAATCTTTAGACTAAATTGCAGAATTTTATTAGAGTAGTCACAAATTCTTATTTGTTACTATGGGTGAGCAGATTTCTGTAAAAGAAGTTTAATTTTTATAGTATTTCAGCAGGTAAAATATCCAATATGTAAAATATTCTAAGCTTTTATAACTCTTGAGTTCAAGTCTTGAAGATATTTGAAAACGAATTTATTCATAAAACGTTTCTTTCAAATATGTTTCCTAATAAAGTTAAAAACTTTTCAAACAAACTTAGCAGATACGCATGAAAAGATATTTGTTTTGGCGATTAACAGTTCCGTCATGGGCCAACCAGTGCTCATTAAAGAATTTACAACAGGTTGCTTTAATTTTATTCAAAACGTTCTTTAATGTTCACATTTGAGCGAATTTTGCATTTGAAATATTGGCATTTTGTCTTTAACAACAAAATATATATATATATATTGAATTCTTTCCCTACTTGAAATTTTTCTCTCCCAAAAGTCATACAATTGGTTGGTATTTTGCCGTCTTTACAGTATTTTTTCCAGTTGCAGTATTGAGACAATTCTTGTAAAATTCTTCATCTTATAATACGGAATTTTTATCTAAATTTTGCATGTTGTGTCAATAATTAAGGAAATAAAGCTGTTGAAAACTTTTACAAACACTGTATTTGAATAATTTACAACTTACCAAAATTTGAATAATGTGATGTAATATAGAAACTCATCGCTGTTCTGAAAAGTTCGAGAATGAGAGATTCAACATAAGGCATTTTCTGTCTCTCCATCCAAGATGGAAGACGTTCCCTGCCAACTACAGCATCCAGTTCCATTTGAGCAAGTTTCTGTTCATTTGGGTGTTTACTTAATTCCAACAGGAGACGACAGATAGTTAGTGATCCACTTCCTTCCATCAACATATTCATAGCAATGGCTCGTAGTCTATCCACTGAAATTATTTGCAATAATTCAGAGTTATAACTGCAAGAACACGCAACCATTTAAAAATTAAGATAATTTTAGTTACCCACTAAAGTGAAAAACATATCATTATAATTTAAGCTTAAAAAGTTCAAAAAATAAGAATGCTTATAAGTATTTACTTTGTTATTTATGAATAGCAGAAAATTCCTATCTAATGATCAATTCATTGTGCTTAATATTTGCACATATACTCTAAATATTACACATGTAATCTTTGTATAAAATTATTATATACATGTATTCTAAAAAACTGCCAAAACGCTAGGTGCAGCTTTACTTTAAATTTCTTAAGATTCGTTTTAGTGTATAAAAGTGGATGTATGACGTAACAGTTGAAAGGCTGCCCCACTAGCAAATACGAATGTAACAGGCAAATGTTCCTAGAGACGCGTTCTCATAAAATCCGTTTAAATGGCTGGTTTCCAACTGTTGCTTTGTATACTGTGTTACTCACCTTAAAAAAAAGGAAAGATCTCTAGGAACGTATCCTAACCTCGTAAAACATATTCTAGAAATGCTCTATTTGGCGGGTTGTTGTGGATATTTTTTCCGATCGGACAGCAATTGTATGAGTCTTAGCAGTTACGTTTTAGTGTGAGTTTGATCAAAATGCATGATAATCACTGTCTAAACAAAGACAGATTGTAAAAGCCGCAAGAAAGGCATTTTATTTCCAAAAAATATGAATGTAGTTCGAATTATACAGTATTAGCAGCTAGAATGTGTAGGGAGTATGCCATACGAAGAAACCAATGAGCTTCCATAAGTAGTGCAAAGATGGAAGATGGATTTAAAAGGGCAAGTATATAAAGTATTAGAAGAACATAATACTTTATATACTTGCCCTTTTAAAAGTCTCCTTTTAATATTAGAGGTCATAATCGCCAAATCCTAGTGGTGACGAATTATCGTCCACCACCTTTTAGTTCGGATGCCATTGTATAATCATTAAGTTATTGTGAAGTAGGCGTACATGAAAAATGAGCAATAACCTCACCGGGACCCGAAACTGGACCTCTCGAATACACGCCGAATGTGCTACCGTTACACCACGAAGGCATGCCTGAAGAGGACGAAAATATCTTATACTGCGTCAAATCATTAATAGTCAACTTCACCCAACAACCCCAACTATATAATTCAAGCTATTATACAGCGTGAACAGCATTTCTGTAGTGCTTATTAGTCGTGATTTTCACTAATATTGAGCTAACAAGTGTATTCGCATACTAAGAAGATCGCATAAGAAAGTGGATCCATTTCGTTAACAAGATGCTAAGCATGAGATAACGGTTAATATAAGTACAACTTCTTTTCACGATGAGTAGTCATTTTTCAGGTGAGCGGAGGATCTGCTCGTTATTAGTTAGGCATGCCCTAACGTTTTTAGTATTACATGAGGTACCGCATACCTATAATATAAACGACTGGCAAGTTTGGATCGAAGAAGTGAGATGAAATCGAGCAAGATAGACATTTTATTATACAAGGAAACATTTTGATAATTTATTTATTTTGATTTGGTCTCTTTATTAATTTAGGGACTGGGCAAATTATTTCAAGTTAGCTTTCAAATTAGCTTATCCAACAATATCCAAAATTCACTGCCCTTGAACAAAAGTCTTGGTCTAGAACGGAGAATGCAGTTAACCGTCACAAAAACACCCTTGCAGTTAAATTCGAAAAACTTCTTTTACAGTCTTCCAGTTCAAGTAGTTCAAAAAATCTTCCCATTGTAAACATCAAGCCAATAGTTAATATTTCTAATGTTAGTCTTTCAGAAGAACAAGAGAGAATTCTAAAATATAATTTTAACTTCTCACAAACCTGTAAACCCTCGATTCCAAAGATTTTGGCTCCTATCGAAAAAGCTTTCAAGTTCAGTAAAGTTTCAGATTCACAGAAAGAAATGATTAGGCATCTTATCGCTCATAATGTGAAATTCAATAATAAACCTTTGAAACCAAATCTAACTGCGAGAGAAAGAGCTACAATGCGCGAGATTCATTCTAACCCGGATATTGTCGTTTCAAAGGCCGACAAAGGTGGCCAGATAGTCGTCATGGATAAGAACACTTACAACGATGGTGTCACTAAACTCTTAAACGAAGGACCATATAATCCGATCCCTAAAGATCCTTCACCTTCGGACTTATCCAAAATAAAAACTGCGATCAAATCTTCGCAAATCATTTCAAGCAACTTAAAACATTCGCTTATCCCATCTGTTGCGAATTGTGCCAGATTATATGCTCTTCCCAAAATTCATAAAAGTGGTATTCCTTTCCGCCCTATTGTATCAAATTTAGGTACTGCCTCCTATCCATTAGCTAAATATTTAGTTTCTAGATTTTCCACTCTATTAGACAATAACATTTACACCATAAAAAATTCAATAGAGTTTGTAAAAAAGGTTAAAAACATTTCTCCTCGTAATTTACTCATGGTTTCTTTTGATGTAAAATCATTATTCACTAATGTCCCAGTGGAGGGTGCATTAAGATGTCTAGAAACCAGACTTCGCGAATTTCATTTCTCTTGCATCGAAATTGATGAGCTAATTTCTCTCACTCAACTCTGTTTGAAACAAACACATTTTGTTTTCCAAAATAAATATTACAAGCAAACTGAGGGATTAGCCATGGGAAGCCCCCTCAGTCCCATCCTGGCTGATATCTACATGCATTATTATGAATCAAAATTGTTTGAAACTTTAAACTTCCCGGCATGGTTCCGCTACGTAGACGATACTTTTACCCTGTTTGAAGGTAATAAAGATGATTTAAATAGAGTTCTTTCAACAATGAATTCTATTGATCCTGCTATTCAGTTCACTTTTGAACTTGAGACTTGCAATTCTCTTCCGTTTCTCGACATTCTGGTCACACGTAACACATCCAACTTCAGTACTACAGTTTACCGTAAACCTTCATCGGTTTGCCTTCCACCACACTTTAAATCATGTCATCCGACTAAACAAAAGTTAGCTTCATTTTATTCCTATGTTTTCCGTGCTCTTCAAGTTTGCTCCTCCAAACTAGCCCTTGATGAAGAACTAAATTATTTAAAAGCAATAGCTATTGACAGGGGCTTTTCACCCAACATTATTAATCAAGCAGTTAAAAAATTCTCATCTCAACACACTAAAAGCCACACTCTTATTTTAGGAGATTATAAAAATTCTGTTGTCATTCCCTTCTTTCCATCAATTAGCTATAAAGTTGCACAGATTTTGCAGAAATTTAACTTTCGGGTTGTTTACTCTCCCATCAATAAAATTCCAACTTCTATACTCAAGGACCCCATTCCGGATATGAATTCCTGGGGTATTTATAGGATTCCTTGCCAGTGCGGTTTAATTTACATTGGCCAAACTAAGAGAGCCTTAAAATTTCGCGTCAAAGAACATGAGGCATATGTTAGAAAAAAGGAAACACAGAAGTCTTCTGTTGCTCAACATTGTTGGTCCGAAAATCACACTTTCAATTTTTCTGCTGCCAAAATTATTCAAAAAACATCTTCCATTGGAGAACTGGATTTTCTAGAGGCATTTCACATTCATAAAAATCTTTCTGTTCTAGTTAACGATCCTAATTCCAATCCAAATTTGCCTTCGGCTTTTAGAGAAATTATGTTTTAGTTCTGGTTTCGCCAACAGATGGCGCCACTTGCTTATTCTTGTCCAGGCTTTGTTATCTTATCTAAACATTATTTCCTATCTTGTTCATTTGCGGTTTTGCAGCTGATGATGATGGTTCGGTAAAACCATCGAAACTAGTCCTGTGAAAATTTTGCAAATTTACGCTGATTTTTGTTGTTTGACTTCTGAATTAGTATTTATTCGGCGTGTTATTGTGTCTTAATTAGCTTCTTTGATTTTACCTTCCTTGTAAAACAATGCAATGCCTGTACCTGGTGAAATTTGTCAATTACTCGAGTTATCATTTAAGTAAATTTCGAGAAGATATAAACTGCATTAGTATTTTATAGAATCCATAGCCTATATTCCCGCAGGAACGTAAAAAATGTGAATTGTTTTCGCCAAGATTCGAATTCCGGACCTCTCGAGTATGCGTCTAGCGCGCTTCCAGTCATACCACGAAGGCATGCGGAAAGGAGGGAAAAAATACCCCATAACTTCAGGAAAAATTGTATTTTCTCTTTGTTCAAATTCCAGTAACTCTGTTTTAAATACATAAATTAAATACTTATATCGTATTAAATTTCATAAGCTGAACAAAAACAATTCATTCATAAACTCAGTTAGGTTCATCATTACAATAAATCATATATATGTTAAAGATTTTCAAAAAAAATTGAGAAATGGGAGTAAATTTTATAAGTGTTGTTAACAAAGAAATTTTAACAAAACCAGGATCATAATGTTTATCACAGAGTTATTTTATTGTGTAATAATTGGATTTAGTATTAAGTAATAGCTGTGCAGCAGCTTTCCTTGAGTAAACCTATTAAATATTCTCATAAGTATATAATTTTATATTTCATCTCATTCAACTTAAGTTTAAATGAAGTATTTAGAGTCTAACAACCTAATAACCAGTTTTTATTTCCTCCTTGTTAACTTCGCCATATAACAAATTGAGAAACCTGGTTCACTTACACATGTTTGCCAACCGATACACTGAATTATAAAACTTGAAACGGAATGTATGATTATGTTATTGATTTTAATTACTAAGTATTTTTAGCCTTGATAGCAATTTTCTTCATTCTCAACAATATCTGTTAAAACACCGATCATTTCACTGTCATTTAAAGGCTTTCAATGGACGCCTTGTTTCAGATTTTGAAGACTCATCCTAAAATTTAAACATAAAACATCTGTCGAAAATAAGTACTTACTAGTAAAAGAGCTGGCATCAACATCTCCACTCTTTTTAAGATTCTCCATTTGATTCAGGTAACAATCCACATAATCTCTGAGATAGTTGGGATCGAAAGTTTTTATATGTTCGTCTACAATAGCATCCACTGTCTTCTTTAAAAGATGCCTTCCTCTGTGTAACTTCTCAGAGCTTGGAAACAGTTTCATTACAATATACCTACAACAAAAACGAGTTGATAGTCAAATTTTGTGACATACTTCTGGTATATTTCAAGCACCAAAATTTATCGGTTTAAAAGCATTCTTATTATTGTATGTTAAAAGATACCATAATACTACCTATTAAGTTATTATAATCCTACGTCTATTTTATCATGATCATTATTATGCTTTTACGAACTTCATAAAGGCACATTTGATTAAGTTTTTGCCTTTGTTTCCAAACGGTAATTTATAATTTTGTTCTGTCCTTTAACGTTATTTGTTTTTTTTTTTAAATTCAAGTACATCTTATTACATTTATTAGAGAAATATTTTATGTTAAAAGCTTGTAGTAGTTAGTTTACGATGCTTCCTTAATATTTATTACACAATTATTTCCTCATGTCCTTAGCATTTTTACATTAATAGCAGGAAAAACATAATCATTAACCAAAACTGTCAAACATTATGGAGCAATTCTATGCACAGTCAAACTCCCATTCAGCTGTTAAAATAATCAGTTACAGTTCCAGATAGTTAGCTAGTATAATAATTCTCCAAAAAGCATAAAATTTTGTTTTCCTTTGCAAATGTTTCGTGATTTAGAATTTTTTTTAAACAATAATGATTAGATTAAGTTTTGAGGGTTCAACTGTGAGCTAAGCTTCTTTTAAATGATATTCTGTGACATTGGTTTTAGTTAAAACATTGTAATATTTACATAAAAACGCGACTAATCAAGAGAAACATGGCAACTTTAAGATTAATTATTGGCAATATTTTAACATCAGTCCGTCGTTAATACCAAATGAAAAACACAACACATATCGTTGGCCAGCTTAGTTAATTAACTATGGACTTAGTTAATTAATCAACTTAGTTAATTAATAGACTTCCATCTACACTATGCAAAAGAAAAGCCATGAAAAGCTCTTTGATTTCTTTTTTCATAAGGTTAATTAGAAATCAGTAGGGAATAAAGATAGGAATTTGTATGTTATAAAATTACTAATTAGTATGGAATATTATTTGAGAACTTTCTAAAACAATGCCTAATTTCTAGGATATCTAAGATCCTTAGTTACTGAAAAAGTGGGAAAAACATTTTTGGTTTTCACATGAAAAGGAGAAAAGATGGACTTCAAATTTTCTTCACAAAAATATGAAATAACTATTCATTTTTAAATGTGGTTTTACCGGATATCAGGAGAGAAAAACAGGTTCATGTTAACATAGCGAATGAACAGGGGCGATAGCGTATTTATTTCTGGTTTGCTTCAATCGGATCACTACTATGTGTGATGAGTACAATGTTCTAAAATAGTGTTTTAACTGTCAAAGTCTTTGGTAATAAAAAATATGCGATTAAGCAATTTTTATCCTGATCTGGACAGAAAAGTCGGGCTAATACTATAATTTAAAGCGAAGACATTTTATTGTGCATTCTACAATTTTAGTGACACGCGTATACTTTACTATATATCCTAACTTCTCAGGCACACTGTGTCATGTCTCATACTGAATTTCTGTTTCACAAAATATATATAGTAATACTAAGAGTTAACTTCATACATTCGTTCACTTGTTCCATGAAATTGTGTGTAATGAAAATATTTGATTGACTAGATCTTGCACTGTCCGATAGGTTTTGAAAAACCAAAGAATTTACTTACCGAAAAATTTTGCGTTTGTTTTTGTAGATAGCTCACTTATCAAATATACTATCATCAGATTAGACGCAAATCATTGCTATACGCTCCACTATGGAACATGGTCAAATCTCACTGCGTGACGTCACTAATCTGTTTCTTTCTCCCAATGTCCTGTAATGTCAAGGCTAAGTGATTCGTTGTTCTATACCTTTGTGTCGGAAATTTTATTTAATGCGGTCGTACCTTTTTATTTGACCAGATTGTATTTTTAAATGAAATCTGTGTATGAATCAAATAATTCGAGTATATTAATTTACCAAAGACATATTGACAAGTCTATGCCTATTAAAAAATTTTAAATCAAACGGAAAGAAAAAATAATAGCAAAACAAATATAAAATTTATACATTTTTCTCTTAATCATGCATAAATAAGAAATTGTGTTTATATTTTAAATTCGGAATATTTTTAATAGATCAGTAATTAGTTTTGTTCTTTTGCAGGCAGTATCGTACGTTTCTTTATTAACAATGACTTCAGTCACAGATTCGAGGTAATTTTGCAAAATGTTTGATCAATTAAAATGATTAAAAATTTAAAACATTCTACTTAAACTTTTCAATCAAATAGTTGACATCTTATTCAGTTCAGTTTAGTGTTTTATATATATTTTTAAAATAATTTTAAAAGGATCTATAATGAAAATTAAAATTTTAGTTTTTTTAATATTGCCATTTCATTTGTAATTAAGTTAAATATAAAAAATGCTGATTTAGGCTTTAAAAATTTTGACCACTGAAATAATATTGTAAGAAATATTAATAATTTAAAAATTAAATAGCTTCGTATTTATTTTTCATTTTAACAAACCAAACAAATTAATCATGAAGCTTAAGATATCAATTTTGTTATTTTTAAAGTAATAGAATGTTACGATAACAATGAAATGAACATGCATCAACTGCTATAAAGAAAACTTACTTGAAAAACGAACCAACTAGCATTAGTCGATTGTCTGTGAACGTATCGATTAAATCATGAACACCTTTAGAAAGTTCTGCGAAAACATTTCCATCCTTTTTAAACTTTCGTAAAAATAAGACGTGAGAAATGACACTATTAATCACGTAAGAGACGTGGAAAGCAAAGTCAACTGGTTTAGCGTTTGTTTCCTTCAAGTCATCTAGCAAAGTTTTGATCTCTTCCTGTATCTTTTCTTCTATCGCGGTCTTTCCAAATCCGAAACTTTTGGCTGTTTGGAGAAAAAACCGACGATGTTCCTTCCATGGTGACCCTTCTTCTTGAGCTATACCTGAAAAAAGAGAAAAGTATTTAACTAGTAGAAAGTGACTTATATATGAAGTTATATATATGAAAGTGATATATGAACTTCATGATGATTTTCCGTTGAACTTCGATTTAAAACTTCGATTCGTTTTCGTTAACTTCGGTTTAAAGCATGTTTTATTAATTTTACTGGAAATGCTATTGTTTCTTGCCTTTAGTGTATGAGATTTTTTTCACATTTAACTTTACAACACTTTTCACTTTTAATTGTTAGAACAACTGACTGTCCGAATTGTCGATAGTACGGACTTCTAATTTGGTTGGGTTTCGTGGTTTGCTCCATGTGTAACGGGAATACGAACTTGTTTCCCTTAGAAATTCCTTCATGAAGGCATCCCTCCCTTTAGGTATAACTTTTGTATGTTTTGATATCCAAATAATCTAAACGAAGAGAGACACGTTCACTGCTACATTTATCTTAAAAAAAGGAATCATTGACTCTAAACTTAGGTAAAAAGTAAAATTTTGGCTGGTAGTAATATCTGGTGGCACTAATACTTGGTGGGACCAACCCTGGCCTTGATGATAATTGCATAGTTATTGTGGCACTCATAAGATTAGATTTGAGAGATTCGTGGGGTACGTTACTGAACTAAACCGTAAGGTGCTTCCTAGAGCTGTTTCAAGGACTTAATAAACGATTCCTAACCATTTTGTTTCAAAGATATTCTGTTGGTATTAAATACGGACTCCTATCAAGCCTCATCAATATACAGATGTTATCATTTTGTAGCTATTTTATTACCAAAGAAACAGTAAAAGTGGATATAAGAATCGAAACATATTAACAATTGCTCATTGTTATGGATGTAACGTGATCATGCATTTCTTAGTTAGCGATTTGACTTTGAAATACAGAATAGAATCGTCTTAAAAAATGTAGGGCTCTATATATTTTGATTCCTCTTGAACACCAGACAAAAATTTATGCAACATTAAACTCGTACGTTGAAAATACAATTAATGAATTCAAACTGATCAGTGCCTGTGTATGGAAAGCCCTCCCTTACCAGAGAAGCTAAGTGCATCGCTGCAGATACAAACAATCGTGATTAAATTTTTCATTAAAATTAGGTCGTAGCATTTGTTGACTGTTCGGTCTATTCGGGTTATTTAAATTTATTGAAGGAAATAACGACTTTGCATAGTTCAGTAGTCCATTTCGCTAGCTTTTGCCCACTTCAGACACTAAAATATTATTTATATTTTTGCTAAAAGCAAACTCTTCTTCCTTGGTTACGGCCTATGAGTCATTTTAAAATCAAAACCTACGCAGAATAGAATACTACTGCTTACAGCTGCTCTATCCCGTGCACTTCTGAGATACGCTGTTGTCTTTTAAATTTCTGAATGCCAGGCAATGTTATTTTATTTTTGGTTTATAATTAAAGCAGGGAAAAAATCTTATTTCTTAACTTTAAAATTTTCCCTATAGTCACTGTTTTATGTCTAAAATGAAATCTTGTTTCTTTTTTTCGTTATTTTGTTTATTGAGTAGAACGACTCATCTAAAAGCTCTTTGCAATTTTCATTTTAAATTATTAACTGTTCATATATTTTGACCTTTAGCAATGAAATTACAGTCTAGTTTGCGCAGTACTCTCAATTAAATTAAACTCGATTTACAATATGTAATTATGTAAATTATTATCTGTAGGAAAAGGGTTTTAGTTGTAAAATTATTTTGTTTGTAATAGAATCAAAATGCCATTTTAATCTTAATTGCTGAAATGCGAAATTTTAAGGAAGTTTTGTTCTTTATAAAGAGTCGATATTAGCCATCCAGGGCAGAATAGTTTCGTATATTTCCGCACTGCTGCGTGTAACATAAAAAAACTACATATCTATTTTTTTGAAATATACATATAGAGAGAGAAAGAGAGAGATGTGTAATAATTTAAAAGTAAGATAAAGTACAGAATTTAATTTAGAATAGTCCCTTAAGTACTGTTTGAATTTCGTAGTAGTAACATGCTCATAATAAATTCCTCTAAACTGTGTTATTCTAATCTTTCTCACATGATTCGTATTTACGTTTATGGCACAGATACTTTTATAACGCTTCAACCAATCATAATATTAAAATTTATGATCTGAAACATAAATTATGAATTAGAATGAAGACGAAATAAGCTTGATTTATTCTGAAAAAGGCCTTCAAATTGGAAACTTGGCTCCCCTGTCAACATATTGCAACTTGTTTTTCCTGCCAACATAACGCTGCATACTTCTTTTTTTTAACTTTCTAACGGTGTAAAACAAATTACAAACGGATGGGAACAGGAGCATGTCTTGAGTCAACTTAGCCATGTATGCCTTCATAACACATGTTTGTCAGTGAAATTTCTTAATATTATTCATATTGCTGCTGACGTCTTTATGCAGCATTATTCGGCCTTCAAATCTTATGTCATTAATATCTAAATTATTACAGTTGCGGCGGACCACGCAGAGATGAGAAAATCGTGTGTGCGGTCACCGCAAGTCTCTGCTTCCAAACTTTTACTATGTTTTTCACGATATGTTTCTGACATCGCAGACGCGATAATTCGTTCTACTTGGCAGTGCAAGAGACTACTGTCAGGAGATTTTAGCGTTTTGTACCGTGTCTGTCGTCAAAGCCTTTCGTTTTCAGGACGGTTGACGAATCAGTGATTTTGTTTTTCCTCTGATATCGTTCCGGATATAACGAATCAGAGGAAACATCAAAATTTTTTTAGGCATGGCAAAATCAGTCTGAAAATTATTTCCACCGGAGCAGACCTGAGAAGGCTCCTAAACTCTCGATTAAAAAGACCTAGAATACTCTTGAGCTCTCGACTAGAGAGACCCTCGTTAGCAGGCTCCTCATATTATGACGACTATAATTCATTTCAATAACTGTCTATGCTCTCCATGAATTATACATATATATTTGTAGAGAGGTTCTCGTAATTGTAATAAATATATTTTGAGTTCAATAATTCAGTAAGTATCACGCAACCTCACAAACGTACCCAATTCATTATAAGAAGTCAGATGCGCTACCTGCCGCCATTCAACATAGTGGTAACACACCAGTCATCCCCACAGTTAATAAAATTTGACTGGCTGCTACAGCAAATTACAATTAGTGTTTATCTTACCTATTTTTTATCTCACATATATATATATAATTATTATATGTATATAAAATGAATTAATACATTAATTTTATATGTATATAAAATTAACTATCCATACTACATGCAATACTATCTAAAAATTCTTGCTGTTTCTTATAAAAATATTAAGAGAAAAATATACCAGGTAAAAACAAAATTTTAATGCCAAAAAAAGAACTGTTTCTTTATTTAAATCAGAATCCCTATCTTTGAAATGGAAAGCAAAATCTTCTTAAAACTATTTGTGTTAAAGATCAGGTTTAGTATTTCCATTTTACTGCATATTGAAGTTAAGCGTTTTTTAGTTATATGTAGTACAATCTTTCTTACAAATATTTGTCTCTTACAACAGTATTATTAAAACACGAATTAAGGGTATTTTAAGGTAAGTATAAACACAAATACAGGCACAGTTATTTTCTTGCGAAAAATAAATATAAATTAAAGCATATGTGCTGATAAATTCTACTACACCTTCAAATACTGCAAAATTTGTTTCATAAAGCATTATATGGAAATTATTTCAAGCATAAATAAAAAATAAAACTTGGTCTGAGGCATTTTGTTACTGTTTGTTATTGTTTCAAAAATTGATTCACGAATTACTTTTAGTCTCAAACACTGAAATGGAACAAAATCGTCCTACACCTTCAATAGTTGATTCTCAATATATATATGATTTTAATATTCAAGGGGCTCGGATTATTATGATACCAATCGGCTATATTTCTAACGATGTCTTGCGTATCTTTGAACAAACGATACTATTTCTTTATCATTTTAATTTTTATGTCCACAATCATTTGCATCAATCAATCATTTGCAATCAGTCATTAAAATGAGTTCTATTATAATTCAGATTTATTTCAATCTCTTAAAAATGATCCATTTTGATTATTGATATTTATTATCATTTTCTATTTTCATCTTAAAATTTTATTTCAGAATTTTTAACATAGAAATGTTTGATTATATAATGTTAATAAATGTTAATTGTTAATAAATCAGTAATTATTATGCCATAAAATATAGGGCTACAGAGATTCTTTCTGAATCGCTGTGGTACCCCATTTAGCTTTGAAACCGAAAGATTCAAATACAGTAGAGCCTTCGTTACCGACGTTCCTGTCTAGAATGTGCTCCTCATTAACAGACAGTTTCTAAGATCCCGGTGTCATTATACACCTCATTTAACTGATAAGCCCTTCATTCTTTGGTTATCTACAAACTGGTGGTTCAACTGTAACTGAACAGTTCAGATTGTTTAATCGGATATTTGACGTTCTTCTATGTTTTAATTAAAGTTTACAGTTTCTTAAAACCCCATTTTTTTTAGGAAATAATCATTTAAATATACGTCCAATGAATTGAAAATTGATTGAATTTGAAATATGATTTAATTTTTTAGAGAATATTTCCATCGAGCCCCCCAAAATGAATTTACAGCAATATGTATAAGGTTCGAGATAAAAACATTTGATACATGAATTACAAAGAAACTGTTAAGCTTACCTAAACCATTAGAGATCCATTCCATAGAAGTGATTTCTTTCGGCCTACCAATAAATTCTTCCGCTCTGCCCACAAACACCTCTTTGATGAGTTTCGCGCCACTGATGACAACGAAAAGTTTGCCTCCAATTGTCCTAAAGCAGAAAACGTTGCCATATTTCTTTGCTAAACGTGCTAAATCAATATGTGGTTTAATAGACAAGAATGGGTAATAGCCAAAAAATGGCAAACCCCAAGGACCTGGAGGCAACCTGAAATTTCGTTTCCAATAACCTAACACTAAATATGACAAGCAAAGGACTACCGCTGCTGAAACGAGAGGCAGAGATAGTTGTTCTAACAGCAGCATAATTAATGCCAGAGTAGTGAAATTTCTGTGTGATGGACCTAGGCACTGAAAATGCCATAATATTGGGGTCAGTTATCTTTTAATGATAAGATATGATAAAAATATGAAATTGTAATAATGAAAATTTCGAAATGATTGTAGACTTGAGAAACTTAATTTACATGTCAGCAGATGGAAGATCTGATTTCCGATAGGGAAGACAATCTTGTCAATGCAAGGGGAGGTACTGATGTTGCTAATCTGTTCAAGAGGAATATTTTTTCTATCTGATTTATCTTCCAGGCAACATTTCTTTAAGACATTATCGTTGACCTTCACAGTTCCCAAGTTAATAGATATGTAACTTTGATTACGCAAAGTATCTGATTATTTGTGTAGTAAAACCAGTTTCAAACGGTTTCGTTTACAACAAGATTTTATGTAACGAAAAAAATTTTTTTTCTCTCTCTCTCTGTCTCCCTTACTTCTCCCCTTCATTAAGTCGTGTTTTAAAGTGAAATGTAATTTTCATGAATGTGTTTAGAATTATTTTATGGACTTACTTATGAAAGTATAACTAACGCGAAAGGTTATTTTTCTTCGCAGTTTACTGGTTTATTTCGAAAGTATAACATAAGGACGTAATTCGAAACATACAGAAATAGAACGATTCGTGTTGACCTCCTTTACGGAAAATATAATATAGATAAGCACAATAGTTTCGATAATTTTATCTGATAAAAGGTAACCGGGTTTTAAAAGAAGAACAACTAGTCCTAATATAATAGCTTTCTTTACTGTTTTAATTGTTATCAGAAAAAAAAGTTGGATATGTAATACTTTGGCTAATAAAGTTAATGGATGGAATTGAATTATTTAACTACCACGGAGCGCCCAACAGCCATCTGCCTAACGGTATGGATGCCTTTGTGGAAGTCTCTTTGTTTCGCACATATGAAATGGCATGAAAACATCTATCTAAACAGCCTTTTTCAGGGATTCAAACAAGTTCGAATCCACTCAATCATTAGTTTGCTATAAAATAAATAAGATCACTGTTATTAATACTTAATGCAACAAAGAACCTTTTAAGGCGGATGCATTTAACAGAGAATTAAGAATTTTTGCTAAGCTAAAGAAAGGGAAGTTCTGATATTATCCGTTAACAGAAAACTGTGAAGTTTTACCATCAGGTTTCTAATAAATATTTTCCCAGGTTTCCTTCCAATTTATAAATGTAATTTATCCTCACAGTAAAGTAATTTAAAATTGTTCCTAGCAGTAACTTAAATCAGTTGCTTTTTTATTTCGCAAATCAATCACCATTTATAGGTGGTGATGATATATTAAACTTTCGGGAAATTTGGGTAATTCAAAATTGTAGAAGTGTTAGAACATCCTTTGATATAACATACACATGTATATGTTATATGACAGTTGTAGTTGTAATTCAAAATATATTTGGAATAATGTCACCACAAATATTAAGTTCATCTAAAGTTTCAATTTTTTATCATCAGATCTGGTAGACAGCCAGATTAAGCCATCCTGAGATCCTACACATAACGTTCTTCCAGTCGTTCTCAACGCCCGCTGTATTTTTTTATAACGAAGAAACAAAATTACGAGAATTAATATGGGATTAGTTCTGTGAAATTTAGAACTGTAGATGCAGACTTTGCTGACCAAGGGGATAATCGAGGACAGCTCAAAAAAACCTATTACGAGTGAACTTTGATAATTCGCTTTGAGTTCGATTTGCGATGGACAGTTAGGCTGGTTATCATGATTTTTTTAATATCAAAACCAGTCTCATTAAAAAGACTTGCGCAAAGCATCTTTCTTGAGGATGGTAACCCTCGAGTGCTTTACTGTCATAAAAATACTTTGCTTGAAGATGAATTTTTCAATCGGAATTTAAATAATGGTGTAAAAACTAATATAAAAGCAATTAACGATCTTGAAATAGGTTTACACAAAAAATAATTTTTCAAGAGAAAAAAATTGTCGTTCTTACTGAATTTAACACATATTTTGAACTTCTATAAATGAGAGAATATTATAATTCAGAAATAATATCAGATAACGCTATTTTGCACTGAAATGTATAATTATTTCGTAGTTATCATGAGAAAATTCGTTGCAACAGTTACTAAAATATATTACTTCCCGGGTTCATCACTGATTATATTTCAATTTTATTCAACCAAATTTGGGAAGAAACTATAAAACATAAATTTAGGAAGGAATAAAAATATAATTTTTCGCAATAATGGCTTTCTTTGTGAGCAATCATAGAACTCGTTATAAGCTGGTCCAATTAAACTTGTAAGGTATTTTCTCTTCCCTTTTCTTCATGCTTGCGTGATGTAGCTGGAAGCACACTTAATGCGGATTCGAGAGGTCCAGGGTTCAAGTCCCAGCTAAGGCAGTGCACATTTTCCCCTTCTCCTAAGTTAAAAAGACTTAATGACTGTAAAAACAATTAATTATAAATACCCCTGTAGATTTCATTATAAGCTTGGTATTCATCCTTCAAACTAAAATTAGCTAGTTATGAAATGAATTTTTTGTTCTTATGGGACAATACAAAACGCTAGATTTTGTATCGACAGATTCAGTCTATCTCCATTATAATACTATTTCTATGTAATTCGCTTTCTAATTTTGACAACTGTTTCATTTAGATGTGCACACATCTAATCTGAGTAACAGAAGTAGAGAAACTGCACTTAATATTATGATGGTTTTATCAACCAAATTTGAAATGTACCAGTTGAAAATGAGGAAAAGTGACTTTGTTAGGATGACTTCGTTATAGTCACTTAGTTAAAGCACTAGCAAATTCGAGATAATGCTTTTAAATCTAAAGATTTCTAGAGACATTAGGTATTTTTGAAGCAGGCAAGATGAAAAATTAGCCACGCGTTTGACGGGAATCGGACCTCGGACCTCTCAATTAAGCTCTGATCGTGCCAAAGGCGTTGCTAGGGTTTTCAGTGCCCGGGGACAACTGAAGATTTTGCGCCCCTTTCTTTGTGCCAAGAACGGAAAAATTTCATTCTAAAATTTCGTAACATCAATTTGGTGCCCCCTGAATGCTGCGCCCGGGGACAGATGTCCCCCCTTGCCCTACCCTAGCTACGCCACTGGATCGTGCAGACCACTACACCACGAATGCTCGCTAAGAAGGCGGGAGAAATACCTTATAGATTAATTGTTTATTTCCAGGTCTTAGTTACGTTGAGATTCTTAAACCGCCTTGGTACTTTAGTAGCTCTTTATCATCAGTGCGAGACTGCAGATCGGAGCTCGCGGCATGCATTAACTGTGGAGATGCCATCCACCGCTGTGGAGCAAGACGTGATCACAAGCACCCAGCCTATCACAGAGACTGCCCAGAGTATAAGCTGGCAGTCCAGAAATATCGCGACACGGTTGTACTAATATAAGCCCCAACGAACAATGTCAGGATCCCTCAGCAAGTAACACAAGCCCGGAAATACCAAAGTGCCTAGTTAACGAAATTAAGCTGCGTGACACCAACCCGATAAGATGCCTGCAGATAAAACCTGCAAAAGGCACGTGCAGCTACAGCACATGCCATAGCCTACGCTTTGGAAAGCAATACAGACGTATTCTCCAGGAACCATATACCAGAGAGGGTAAAGTGGTTGGGTTCCCTCTTACATGGGGCTTGTTCCAGAAGGAAGATCCATAATCCTCACCAAGAGTAGCCATCATCATCTGCAATCCGACATGGACACCAAGCATCATCTGCCTAGAGCGCGACCATGTAGCTGTTCTACTAGAAATGCATGACATGAAAGTACTCCTAGCTTCTATTTACTCACCACCCACAGAGGTATCCGACCCCACCACAGAATTCATGTCTAAAGTGCTCGGAGATTTTCGAAATTATGGCGTTGTATTCGCCGTAGACTTTAACGCTCACAATGTGTGCTGGGGCTATGCTGACACTGATGTTAAAGGCAGACATCTGGAGGATTTTATCTCAGCCAACAATCTAGTAATCCATAACTCTACTGATGCACCCCCTACTTTTGACAGGATCTACGCCAAAGGGTGGCCGGATTTGACTATTTCAAGCACTTGTGTTGCTCCTCTGGTACAGGAATGCGAGGTAGTAGAGATAAGCGTGTCCGATCACAACTATGTAAAATTCACCATAGCATATGAGACGCAATTCACCAGGCGATGTAAGACCCACCTGGATAGAATGCGTATCAGGGTAGTTAAGGAGTCCACTCAGACGGAGCTAGAAAACTCACTGAAGACGTTGTTAGCGCAATACAGGATGCATGCGAGGAAACTCTTCCAGCGAGATCAACTAAAAGACTACAAACACTGAGCTGGTGGACCAGTGAACTGAGAGTTCAACAGAAGAAATGCCGGGCCCTATGACGTCGACTCAAACGAGAACGGCAGAGGAGCAACGGCACCGAGACGTCTATTCTCACAACATTTCAAAGAGAAAGGGCACTTTATAAAAGGATGATTCTTCAGGCAAAACTAAACGCATGGAAAGCCTTCTGTACAGACAGTACAGCCCCATACGGTATCCACCATAAGCTCGCCACCGGAAAAAGGTTCATGCCAACCAACTTCCATCTTTTACCAGCAACGACATTCCCACAGTGCACACTTTAAATGACATCCTGGATGCGGTCTTCCCGCAAGATAATGAGGATGAGGACACAACAGAACATCACTCCTTGCGGAACACAGCTCTGGATACCCACCACCCAAACGATCAGCAATTCACCTCTCATGAGATTCAGCAAGTGCTGCGTCAGCTAAGTCGCAAAAAAGCAAAAAGCACCGGGTCCGGACGATGTCAACAATAAGATCATTAAGGTGGTGATTCACACCAATATTGAATTCTTCAGGACCCTCTTCAATAGCCTGCACGACACAGGCACATTTCCAAGATGCTTTAAAGTAGGCCAAGGGGTTTTCTTTTTAAAGAAGAATAAAGACCCCACCAACCCGGACTCGTACAGGCCAATTTGCCTATTGTCAGCGTTAGGAAAGGTGTATGAAAAGCTCTTAATGAAAAGGCATCACCTCTATTATACGGACTACCTAAGCCCAACCAGTTTGGGTTCAGAACAGGCAAATCAGCAGTCCATGCGCTAGCAGAGGTGAAGAATGTAATACTTGCAAACAAGGCAAGAGGCCACCACACGGCATTCATCAGTCTAGACCTGAAAAGTGCCTTCGACACGTTGTGGT